TGGGCATGTGCAATGCCAAATACAAGTATCGACAAGATCGACGAAGGAACAAAGGTTTTCATACCTGTATATAAAGTTATACATATCTAGTTATGTTTTTTTTAAACAAAATCAATGGTAGTCCCGATGAATACAAAGACCTTACTATAGTGTTATATTGATAACTTTTCAGAATATTCAAAGAATCAATAGATTAAATGGATGTCATCTATATTTATAGGCTCTATAAACAACATCACCGTAAAAATTAGGATGAGATTTCCCATTTGTGATAAGATTTTTAAAGTTACATCCCAACTTACAAACCAAATATCTGAATCTATGAAAAAGAAATAGTATAGGTTTAAAGTAGCGAAAACCCGGACTTTCAAATTTGTTAGTTTTACCAGATTGCGTTCGTTTAAATCTTAAACGTCACTACAAACACGGGATAACTAAAAAGTTGGGAAATATATAGACAAAAGAACATCGCCTTAAAAAAAAAGAGCGTGAAACTGAAATATCCAAATGTGGAAAAAGACAATTATAATTGTTTACATTAGATATATTTAAAATCAGTTCGCTTATGTAAATTTCCGAAGTATAATTTAAGAACTCTTTAAGCAAAAATATCATCCAGCTAACGGTAAGTGTTATTAATTTTTTTAAATGTGTAATTTTGACGGATATTTACTATATATATTTGGCTATACATGCACTGTAATTCATACCAACACAGGACTACGTCTGATATTAAAGGGACACATCTTTGTCTGAGATACATAATTTTTTTCTATTAGTTGTTATTGGCTTTGAACTAGATGTCAGTAACTGCGAGTACTCTCAGATTTGTACTTAGTGTCTTTTTTTGTTGTGGGGATGTATAAATACCCTGTTACGTCCGGTCTGTGTTTTTGTTAGATGCTTTTCTGCTTTGTATTGATCAGGTGAGTTAACCCCTTTTCAACTGATTTTAATAGTTTGTTCTTATGTTGTACTGTTATACCACTATCCCAGGTAAGTTGGAGGGTTTGGCGCCAACTAACTAGTTTTACTCCGCCACTTTCTATGTATGTGTCTGTCTCAAGTCAGGAGTGTTTTTCGTTCATTGTTTTGTACATAAATCAGGCTGTTTGTTTTCTCGTTTGAATTGTTTTACATTTCGATGCCTTTTATAGCTGACTATGCGGTATGGGTTTTGCTCAATGCGAAGGCCGTGCGATGACCTATAGTTTTAAACTGTCATTTTGTCTCTGGTTGAGAGTTGTTTCAATGACAATCATACCACATCTTCTTATTTTTACAGTCGGTGGCCATATATATGAATTCCATAATTCAAGTAAGTGTATTTAGCATATTTAAAATTGAGAATGGAAATGGGGAATGTGTCAGAGAGACAACAACCCGACCAAAGAGCAGAAAACAGCCGAAGGCCACCAATGGGTCTTCAACACAGCGAGAAAATCCCGCACCTGGAGGCGGGCTTCAGCTGGACCCTAAACAAAAATGTGTACTAGTTCAATGGAAATGGACGTCACACTAAACTCCAAAACATATAAATGTTTTGGGACAGGCGCAAAAATGCGGTGGGGTTAAACGTGTTTTTTTTTTTTTTTAGATCTGTTACCTTATTCATTACATAAAAAATCTTTCAAAGAGTTGCAGCAAATACATTTGCGATCATAATTTATTTTAAAGGACCATTATTAAATTAGATAACTTATTTTTGGTATGATTGTGTTGAAGTGTAGTGTAGAGACTCGAAAAGTCACAACTGTCAACCGAATTGAAAGAACCATCAAAAGCACATAATTTCTCAAAAACATCCAAAGAGATTTTTTACACTCAAAAATAATTATTTCCATCAATTTCATATGCTTTATTACAAAAAATAATAACGAGTTCATATTAATTGTAGTAAGGGAACTAGTTAAAAGGACGAATAGATTAGTGGTAGAACTCTTTCTAGATGCCAAGATAAAACAATATTTGATGCTTTTTTTCATAAAGGTTATGGTGTCAATACAGGACTCCCAAATATTCAGACGAAACTTTAACTTTTACTAGTTCACTATTAGTTGAGCCCATGTCCTTGAAAGTAAATATTTTCTAATGTAATCCTCTAGAACTTCGGTGTAGTCGTTTCGTCATTCGTTATCTTTGTCACGAATAAACATGGATGCGTTCCATGTGTTGTTGTCTCGATTTAAACAGCACTGAATGTTGGCATAAGCAACGCGACGGGTGCCACTAGGAGCAGAAACATATTACTTTTCCGAAACACCTGACCATCTCCCATGGTTTTTAGAGTGTTGCTCGATCTGTTTTCAGTGAAAGATTTTATAGACTGGTGTGTTGTCTGAAATACGTTTTTCTTGTCGTCACAATGTTGTACGATTTTATACGACTTAGGGATTTTGATTGTCCACTTGTTATCTGCCCCCCCCCTTTTTTTTTAATACCTTGTATTGCTTTGTGTATAAGAAATGTATTGATGTTATACTTTTTATATCAAAAAGGTGATTTATTGTGACGCATTTTCATTCTTGTTTTTTTTTATTCTTTCGTTTAATTTCATTTCATAAGTTCTAGCACTTTTAGAAATATTATTCAATATTATTCATGTCATGCCTTTTGACTGTGTTGCTGCGTTATTGTTGTTCATTTTTTGTTGTTGTTATTTTTGGGGTGTTTTGGGTGGGCTTTTTTGTGTGCGTTTTTTTTTTTTTTTTTTATTTATTGTTATACAAATTTCATTTCATTCATGTATGTTGTCGTGCGTTGTTTCTGTTGAACATTGGTTCCAGTCACCACGTAAATGGAAATTTATCTAGGTAAAATAATACTATAGTATTAACTTCCAAATCATAATTAAACCCTGACTGAAAAGAACAATGAAAATGTTCATTTTTTATGATAGCTTGATTTCAGAGAGCAAGTCGTATTTATAAATTTATAGTGGAAATCAGTGATCGTTTTCCTCTCATGGAATTGTAGATATTATATTTCTAATAACCAGAATGTCCCTACCTTTTGAGCCAAACTTTAGTGCCCTTCAAAATTTCTTCTGAAAATTGCTCGACTGTAAAACGACTGGATCCAATTAGGGAATTACGGAAAATCACTCCACGTTATCAGTATTGGTAGAGTAATTTTTAATGTGGTGACCAAAATATTTCCAACAACTCTATATTGTTCTTACAGGCCTTTGGTTTTTATGGGGGGATTGAAACGGTGTCATATATAATTTCAAAAACTGATGTTCAAGATCATGTACGATACACACTTGTATTTTGATTACAACGTTCTACGTGTGCTGCTTGATGGACAGAATATCTATAGAAATAAGAAGATGTGGTGTGATTGCCAACTCTACACCAGAGACCAAATGACATAGAAGTTAACAACTTTAGATCACCGTACGACTTCAACAATAAGCAAAACCCATACTACATAGTCAGCTATAAAAGGCCTCGAAATGACAAATGTAAAACAATTCAAACGAGAAAACTGACGACCTGATCCATGTACAAAACAATGACCGAAAAACAAATTTGATATACAGCAACAAACGACAATCACTTAATTACAGGCTCCTGGTTTGGGACAGGCACATACAGAATGTGGCGGCGTTAAACTAGTTTGCTGGCACCAAACCATCACCTTACCTTGGACAGTGGTCTTAATTATAGCCCTTCAGAAACATCTTATAACTCTGTCGGTTTTCATGAAAGTTCTTTACGGCTGTCAATTAGTTTTTGCAGGGCATACCATAATTTCTTAATTTACAGTAAACAATATGTACCAGAGGAGGCAGCAACAAACATATCGTGAACATAAATCTGAAAAAGATGCACAATCCTAACATTTCAGTTAGGAATTTTACATAAAACAAAGTCAATCAAATGAAAAAAAAAGCATTTCTATAATAAAAATGAAGAGATTTCATGAAATTTTCAAGCTTTTGCTATAACAACTGACGTAAAAAAAAAATAAAAGCAAAATTATGATAAAACCAAATATTTCTTTTCATAGCTGACAACAGTAACATATTCTTAATTATACGGAATGACCATCTGCTTAAAACTTTAAAAGCTAACTCTTTTAACCCTTTGGAATACGTTTCCCGAATGATGATCCTTTATTAGGAACAAAATCTAATTATACAGTATTCTTGGAGACCGTATGTTGACTTCTATACGTCTTTTTGTTTTATGTATTTGTTAGGTTGTTGTCTCATTGATGTACACCCAAACCTCGTTTAAATAAACATATCAGTTTAGAGATTTATATAAAACGATTTGAATCAGAAGTAAATGCCTTATTGAACGAGATGAGAAACACGAGGACGGTTAATGAACATCTGAGTCTTGCCTGAATCTTGGATTCATATGAGTCTTGCAGATAACAATGTTTTTGATTAATCATGCAATTTGATAACTTTGTTTTTAACCAAATCATTAAATTATCTTCACGACCACAAACAATCCAGATTTAATCCATTTCATACTCCATCGTATGTTGGTATTGCACAAAATTATTTTTCAGTATTTTCGACTGTTTTCGTGTGAATAAGTCTGTCTTAATAATATTTGCTGGTCATTGTTGTTTTCTAGTTGTTTTGGTAATTGAAGACCCTATAGAATCTTGACATCTTTATTAATGTAGCGTATTGGACATGAATCGTAATAAGAAGTACCGAGAGAAAAAAATATTAATTAAATTTCTATTCATCACAGTCAATCATGAAAAAAATCTCTTTAAAATTTGTATTGTTTGGTAAACATTGCCATATATGACCAATTATGACAAGAGCCAATTCTAGCCTACCCCGTAACTGATATTTCAGAGGAGCTTTTTTCATAAAACGTAAATGAAGTTGTCGCAAATAATACATTTTTTAAAAAGGGCTTAAAATTATAGTGGACACATGGTCAATAAAACATTTTAACGAAGTTTAAACGGTGTAATTTTGGTGGGAGCATGCCTGCTAACTTAAATAAACACACAAAGTTTCATAGTTTGGATACCGTTTAATAGCATTTTCTTTGTGTATACAGCTTTTGGTCACTTTGTTATATGTGTTTTGCTATAAAGAAAAAAAGTGTTTTGAAAACTGGTGGCTTGTTGAACAAAGAATGACCGTTCCGCTATTGAAATTGAAATGTGGTCGCTCGAAAACGGTATTTAAAACTAAGGACAACATCTTACTTGATTCTAACCTTTTCAATAGTGAAGAAAATATATAAACAGAACGAAGATGGATGCTCTAATGAATGATCTGCATTTCGTCAAGTTGCAATGTTTCGTGTTAAAGCATTATAATAAAATAAAAATATAGGAACTCTTGACCAAAACATGAATTAAAATCAGTAATTTTTAAACCACAATTGTGCAATACAATAGCGCCTAACTATTCTTTTTAGTCAATGCTGTCTGAAACCACCCTATAGCATTAACCTACAGTTTTTCACATGTAAAAAGCAGTCTGTTCTTTGATGACTTGTTTCGTCTTGAAGGAACACCCAAAGTCAGTCACATACCTTGTGCAAGAGTGCAATACTCTGAAAATAAATGTCAAAAGTGATTGGTATTTTTCGTTTCATTAAATGTTTTTGCCCATTTTATTACATAAGTCGATATATTTTTTTACAACCAGGAGGAAAATTTTATAAATGATTGATAAATGTTTGAATAAATCAGTCTATAAATATATAAATATTAAAAACATCATTTTAAATGTTTATCTCGTTAGGAAATAATGATAAAAATCAATATGACATCTATTTACAAGACCATTAATGTACCATTATCACTAACTTATGGCTATTGACAGATTTGAATTGCATTTTGGAAAAGTACACGACAGCAACGTAAAAATCTAGATGTGTTTTTTCTCCTAAACAGAAGATGCCAACGGCGATATCCTTGTCTGACACCATAATCCCTCAAGTTGGCTCTTTTGTCCAATTGAACGTAAATACAGTTGTATTTAGAAGGTCGAAAGTCTGTGTCACACAAGAGTGATTACGGCAACCTGAAAAAATCAAGACATTTTGTGTCGCATTGGACAAATTTACGACATGACTATATCATTAAATTATCCAATGGCATGTATGTTACAACTATATGTTCTATTTTTCTTTTGTTTCCCCCATTTTTTTTTCTATATTATTTTACCAAAAAAATAATAGTGTACTTGGTGTGTAGGCTTCTTTGGAACCAATTTTCTTTGTCTATTCACTTGTATCTTAATTTTTCGAAAAGCAGCACAAACCTTATTTAAGTGGTGAAACTTTGGTCATTATCATTACGTTAATAAACATCTTTTTCAACAAAGTAGGTCATGGTAATTGTTTTGTTTTGTGTCTGTTAGTTTTTGTTTTTATTTTTTGTTTTTATTTTTTGTTTTTTATTGGGGTCTTTTGAAATATGAAAATATATTTTTTTGTATCATTTCAAAATAAATTTCTTGGAAAATTGTAATTTTCATTTTAAACAAGTTTGTTTTATTCAAATCGTAATTGTCATTACTATTTTCATCAATATGGTGTGAGTTTTTAACAAGTGTTAATTTCATTATTTAGAATTGAAAATGATATATCAGATTTGATGATATATAGTATAAAAATTATCTATTGTTTTATTTTATAAGTTATGAACTTCATTTCATAAATTTATAATATACAGAATAAAATGTTGTATTTCTGTTTGTTTTATAATTTATGAACTTCATTTAATTTTTTTTTGTATAAATAAATCCGTTTCATGATCTTTCAATCCCATGAAAATAAACATTGATCACATGATAAATTTCAGTTAATTCAGAATTAGAAATACTTCAATCTTCTTGACAGTTCTTATGTGATAATTGAGGGGAGCAATGTGTTAAAAATCTTGCTAATTTTTCAAACCGTATTTACCTTTGGAGTATTGTGTTTTTAAATGGTTGTAAAATGCTCCGAGTCAGTGTTAATAGGTCGTACAGACCAATTACAATTTAAAAACTTTAATGATCAAAGTACAATACAATAATACGATCTGCATGACTATTTCGAAAACGCACATTAAATTATCTAAATGGCCATTTAGGACAAATGATAAATTTGTGAATTATTTGTGAAAACATAAAAAATGCTTCTGAATTTAATGTCATTTCCTTGGTTACATTTCGGTATCGGTTCAAAGGTTTGAAATTCAATTGTTTGCAAACATTAATGTATTACGGATTTATTTGATAATGTAAATGTTTGTCTTGATTAATTTATATTGGCAGATAAGTCTCACAATACCATCTCCTTAATGTGTAATTGTATCATTTAGTTTTTTTAACCCAGCAGGGAAATGCCTTAATTTCATAAGAGGTAGTTAGTTTGAATAATTTGTATCGGGTTATGTAACAGAAAGCAAGATTACCATAAAAATTGCAAACGATGTTTATTTATCTATTTTAATAAAACATTGTGAAAATAAACAGGAGTATTGAAAAAAATAAAAATTTCTTATTAAGTCTATTTTCTAAAATGTTGGTTTTTAGTTTTAATTCAAGAGGCTAGCAAGGTTTCAGTTTGAATACTTTCTATAAAATTAAATTATTTGTTTATATATTGAACCAAGAGATAAAACAGACTGTCTTGCGAATCGTTTTAAATTATTTCATTCCATTTTTCATTGTTTATTTTTATTAATATTATATACATTTTTATTTCGCGTGTACACAATTATAATGGTTATCATGGAATCTCTAGCTCTATCTTTAGTTGCAATTTGTAACCAAGCTTAAAGCTAAAAAATAAATGCACGTGTCTGTATTTACAACCCCTTAAACAAATTCCGTGAAAGGCATTTAAAATGAATTTGAACAAAATTCAGGATAAAATGATCTTTTTTGTTTTATTGCGATGTAAAAAGGTAAAAAAAATATAAAAATAAGAAGATGAGGTATATGATTGTCAATGGGACAACTCCCCATCAGAGACCAAATGACGTAAAATTATTTTTTTATATATTGAATCAAGAGATAAAACAGACTATCTTGATAATCGTTTTAAATTATTTCATTCCATTTTTCATTGTTTATTTTTATTAATATTATATACATTTTTATTTCGCGTGTACAAAATTATAATGGTTATCATGGAATCTCTAGCTCTATCTTTAGTTGCAATTTGCAAACAAGCTTAAAACTAAAAAATAAATGCACGTGTCTGTATTTACAACCTTTAAACAAATTCCGTGAAAGGCTTTTGAAATGAATTCGCACAAAATTCAGGATAAAATGATCTTTTTTGTTTTATTGCGATGTAAAAGGTAAAAAAATATAAAAATAAGAAGATGAGGTATATGATTGTCAATGGGACAACTCCCCATCAGAGACCAAATGACGTAAAATTATTTTTTTATATATTGAATCAAGAGATAAAACAGACTATCTTGATAATCGTTTTAAATTATTTCATTCCATTTTTCATTGTTTATTTTTATTAATATTATATACATTTTTATTTCGCGTGTACAAAATTATAATGGTTATCATGGAATCTCTAGCTCTATCTTTAGTTGCAATTTGCAAACAAGCTTAAAACTAAAAAATAAATGCACGTGTCTGTATTTACAACCTTTAAACAAATTCCGTGAAAGGCTTTTGAAATGAATTCGCACAAAATTCAGGATAAAATGATCTTTTTTGTTTTATTGCGATGTAAAAGGGTAAAAAAATATAAAAATAAGAAGATGAGGTATATGATTGTCAATGGGACAACTCCCCATCAGAGACCAAATGACGTAAAAGTTAGAAACTATAGGTCATCGCACGGCCTTCAAGCAACAATTAGCAAAACACAAACCGCAAAGCAAGCTATAAAAGGCCCCGACATGACAAATGTTCAACAACTTACGGCCTGGTTTATATACAAAACAATAACAGAAGAAAAATGTTTATTCAGGTTTAAAGAAATCACATTAGAAATCAAAGTACTGAAGTACTGAACATCGGATGACCGCAAGTTCTTGTGGATGGTCACAAGCACTTGTCTCAGATATCAGCCCGAGAGCCGACAGGCCCTAGGGATGATTTGACCATGGGTTGATAAGTGGTCTGATATGAAAAATGACATGTTATGTTCTTTTTATCATATACTTCAACAGAAGACATACAGACAAGAACTATTTTTAAAACTTTGAAAAATGCATTTATTGTATTATTTGTTTTGCATTTTTTAATAATATATTTTTCTGTTTCTTAATATTTTGGTTTTTTTTTTATCGTACTTTGTTAAGTTTTTCACTAAAAACGTACCATTGAGGTGTATTTTCCCGAATTTGCAGAGTGACGTCGAAATGCCATGCGATTACGTTACAGAAAGGCATGCGATAATAACCGGAAGCAGAAGATATAAACCGGAAGCAAAAGATATAAACCGGAAGCAGTTGATAACAAAAGTCATATCACACGGCTAAGACAATTCTTCAGATTTAATGAATAAATATATGTAAAAACTACAGTTTTATCAAGGGGTACAATTATACCATTATTTTCTATAAGTATATGATAAATGAAGATATAAAACTGGACTTAGACAAAAGTAATTTTATATCTAGTCTTGTCGTCATAAACAGTATACTGTTACTTTAATTATTCATCCCTTATTTTATTGATTTTGTATTTACATTGTATCATAGATCAAATTTATTCGTTCAGTGTATGTTCACTTGTGTTAATATGTCTTTTGATTGAGTTAAGCCATTTCAATTGATATTTTATAGTGTGTTTTTCTATTTTGTGATGTTACACTATTGTTTCGGATAAGGGTGAAGGTTTGGTACCATTAAAACGTTTAAACCCGCTGCAATTGTTTGCACCTGTCCTAAGTCTGAATCTGATGTTCAGTAGTTGTCGTTTGTTGATGTGGTTCATAAGTGTTTCTCGTTTCTCGTTTTTTATATAGAGTAGACCGTTGGTTTCCCGTTTGAATGGTTTTACACTAGTAATTTTTGGGGCCCTTTATAGCTTGCTGTGCGGTGAGAGCCAAGGCTCCGTGTTGAAGACCGTACTTTGACCTATAATGGTTAACTTTTATAAATTGTGACTTGGATGGAGAGTTGTCTCATTGGCACTCATACCACATCTTCTTATATCTATATTCTCAGGCACCGTTTTCAACCCCTCTGGGATACAGCTATCATTTTCCAGAAGTTTTCGTGCCTAAAAGAACCCAGGTTAAATGTATTTTAATTTTATGAGAAAAAAACTGCTTGTTATGTTCTTGGTCATTTACTTCTAATAATGCTTATTATAACTTACTCTAAAAATCCTTTCAAATTATAAAACTAACTTGTCATGTCGCTTAGTTATCCTTTTTATGTAGTACACATAAAGTCATAAATTTTGTACGCCAGACGCGCGTTTCATCTTCAAAGACTGATCAGTGACGATCGAATCAATTTAAAAAGGCCAAATCAAGTACGAAGTTAAAGACCATTGAGGACCAATAACTCCGAAAAGATAAACAACATTTTGTCTAGATCTACTTACTTGGTACAGTCACTAAATGTAGAGGGATTAAACCAGTTTTACATAAGGACAAACCTCCCCCTTTCTTGTGATCTTTTAAGACACATTGCATAAAGATGTTTTTACCATCAATTATTTTAATGAATTTTGTAGTGAGGGATGTGTGAAAAAAAAATTCAGACGAAAAATAGGGAATTTTTGCAAAATTGTTTCATGTTATTTAATCGGAAAAGCCAAAGGAGCTCAAATTATAGCTCATCTCGAAGTATAATTAAATAATTTGCTGTGTCTGCTGCATTTTCTGTTGACCTTTTTAACTTCGACCTTTAACCCATGCGCTTCTAATACACCAAATTACTATATTTGCAATGAACTGCTTGAACTGTGTCTGTCACATGGAATAGTCTAAATGGAAGCCGAGAGAAAAATCAAACCAAAACCCGAAAAACTAATCTTATATAATTTTGACAAAAACATATTTCAGAAGTTATAATATTAAAAGAATTTGAAACAATAGTGTGCAC